TAGACGCCCACGTCCATCGTGGACGCCACCCATGCCGGGTTCGACGGACCCGCCTCTCGTCACCTCTCGCCGCCTGCTGCCGCCGCAGCAGCGATAACCGCTGCCTTCTTCTCCCTCGCCGTCTCCGCTGTCCCAGTGTAGGCAGAGGTACAAGAAACAATAGTAACTGCTCGCCCTTTGGCCCACGGAACATCTTCCACCTCACCAACAACGCCGAGGACCCGCACGGTTCCGGCTACGAGGGTCACGTCGCCGCTGTCCATGCACCTGCTGAACAGCTCAGGTACTGGAGAAAGTCCAGCGGCGATATCTGCCCAGACATCCTATGCGTCCACGCTGACGATGCTGAAGCCTACGTCGCGCAAACCCAGGGAGGACGCCGACACCTGCAGCCACGACGTCCATAAAGATGACGGGGTGTAAGAAGAAGCCGCCGCTGATAGTGGTCGATCTGCTCCCGAACTGGAGCTACCACTTCGGCGAGCTAAAGAAGGAGCTCGGTCATGCGCCAAATGTGCGGCCCAACATGTCCACAGAGTTCTCCGCAAGGCGAACAGAAATTCCGCGTTTACCAGCGCTACTTTACCGCGCTGGAGGGCTCCAGAACCAGAATATCCTGTTGTTCGCCTACGCAACGCACCTCCGAAAGAGCGGCCAGTCAAGGACGCGATTAGAGACCTCCCCGTGGACACAGACTCGAAGGACATCCAGGAAGAGCTGACCACCCTGGGCTACAAGGTGGACTACGTGCGCCCCATCAAGGCTAGCCAGCCACATGTGCCAACTGTGGCGGCTCGCAGCCGGCCAACTGTCTCAATTGCCCCGTACGGGGCACAGCACCTCTTACGAAGCCCGTCAAACTGAAGAGGACGGAGGCAGCAACGAAGAGGGATACCAAAACGTGGCTGGATCCCTTATGGCAGCTGCCATCGGCCCCTCCGGAACTACGTCGACGAAGAAGCGGAAGTCTAGGAGGCGAAGGAGGCGAACATCGCCCTCACCCCCCAGGACGTGGAAGCCCCGAGCCAGCCATGTCAAGAGCCACCAAGGGGTTCGTTGGACGCGGTCGGTACTCCATAGAGTACTTCTCAGAGGGAGAAGACGAAGCACCAACCGACCCCAAAAAGTGAGCTCACGAACAGCCATCCTAGAAGAGAACAGAAAGGTCCTGATCAGTGCAATCAGGACCCCTCACTGAGGTCCAGATCGCGCTCCGCACGGGAGCGGACGCGACCTTTATCGACGCCTCCAGCGCCTGATCCCGTCATACGGCGGGGTCATGGCCACCAGGACGAACTGGAGGCTCTAGGACCCAGATAGGCTGCTCCGGGTGGTGCTGTCCAGCACAGCCTGACGTGGCCTTTCCCTGTCCACATCCACTACTCCACGTCGAGTAGTTAGGATCGTGGACACACTCCCAGAGATGCCCCGCTACCGCCGCTTACTGGATATGACCGCTGCCTCGGGAGCCATACACCAGAAATGACCCACCAGATGTAACCAGTCACCGCTGGCTGACGGGCATTAGTCGGCCTCCTCCAATGGGGAATCACCCGGCTCGTAAGACCTCGTCGTGGCGTGTAGTTTTGCCTGGACTCCAGGAAAACCACGCCACTTACCAGAGCGACCACCCATCGCCCCTGTAGTCACAGGTGGCGTGTGATACCACGTTAGAGTGGCTCAGCCACGTGAACGTCTCTCTACTAGCCACAAGTGGCCGTCGAGTAGACCTCCACGTTCGACCATTCCGTTCAGAAGTTTTATTGATAAAGCACGGGTGAACGTCCCCCAGGTAAGTTTTCTCAAGAAAAATAAAAATTAGAAAAATAAAATGTGCATGTGTAATTTTACTTCAAAATGTGTAATTTTGGCGGCGGAAATGTGTACTTTGGAAAGTCGGTTGTGGCAACACTGGATTGGTGGAATCTTTTGAAAGGTGCTGCTTAGTTGCCGCGTCTGATTCAAAAGTCAGTTTTTTTGGTGGTTTTGGTTTTTGTTGTTTTGAGATTTTGTAACTAAATATCAATGAAAATCATAATCAAAGGCTTTTATTTATCAATAACAATGCAAGTAAGTAACAACCTTAATCATAATAATCTAGTTTATAAAACTTATAGTTTTTTTGCCATCTTTTTCGCTTTTAGCCTAGCGCGTTGCACGACGACTACTCCGAAGTCTTCCTCGGGCACCATCATAATTTCATATTTTTTCGTATCGATACGGAGCACCATTAAGTTGTCGAGCACATTCTAGAACGAGAAAATTATTTTATACCCCATTGTTTTATATCCTTCTACCTACACTCAGATATAGGTCACTGTAGGTAGAAAAGGTGTAATTTGCCCAAGAAGAACCATCTATGAACTTACTTACTTTGCGGTGAATAGCATGACCACATACTTAGTTGATTTGTATTGAAATTTTAGGCGACAGGCTGACTACCTGTCACTATGACGACCCACAGTATTCTGAATGACTCATTTCTTCTTAATTAAATTTAATGCTATTTAACCCTATAACCCTATTAAATTAATAAACGAACAAGGATAACTAAGATGATAATTAATACTTAGTAGTAAAACGACTGACCTTGTTGTTTTTAGTCGAAGGTAGAGGAGGTTGTGCGTCATTTTCGGGAGTCATCATCGCCGGGACCTGTTCCCGGGGGCGCTACTACCGAGCACGAGCGAACTGTCAGACTCCCGAAGATGAAGCAATTATTGCATCGAAAAACCCTTTTTAACCTTATTTACTTACAGTCCAGCAAAAAAGAGTAGACAAAAAATGAGGGCGCCACTTTATATTTATTATTTTTATTATTTACTAGCCTTCCGCCCGCAGTTTCACTCGCGGTATTTATCTGTTTGGTCTAATAAAAATGTTTTAAATATATTGCATTTAAAATCCAAAATTTCGAAACAGATTGCATCAAAAATCACGAACTGGAAGTGGATTTCGACTACTCGACAACAGATGGCGCCACTGCTTTAAAGATTATAAAAGCCCTTACCTATATCTTTATAAATACGCCCTTTAAGTTAAAACGGGAACTTTCTTGTTCGAGGGGAGCTAAAGGGCGATTGCACAGTATAAGTCCCTTTATCGTACCGGGAATCCTTTTTAAGTTTTATCGGCACATACATTTTATCAACTTAGTTTTATTATATACTAGCTTTCCGCCCGCGGTTTCACTCGCAGTATTATCTGTTTGGTCTAATAAAAAAGATTTAAATACATTACATTTAAAATCCAAAATTTTGAATCAGATTGCATCAAAGATCACGAACGGTGGAGTTCGACTAATCGACAATAGATGGCGCCACTACTTGAGGGATTGACAAAGTCCTTATATCTTTAAATAAATTATAAGTAAAAAACATTTTTAAAACAAGCTTTTATTTGGATGCGCTAAAAAGCATAAAATAATCTATTTACTAAAACTTTAACTTGTTACTTATAATGGCATTAAATCTACGTCTTCATAATTTATACGATATAAAAGCTTGTCGCGAGATTTAAGTAGGTACTCGTGTGGTGTTAGGTTAAAAGTTTGTTCAAGATCATTTACACTGGTTACCTAATTTATTTATTAATATATAGGTACACAGGTTAAATCTCGCGACAAGCTTTTATATCGTATAAATTATGAAGACGTAGATTTAATGCCATTATAAGTAACAAGTTAAAGTTTTAGTAAATAGATTATTTTATGCTTTTAGCGCATCCAAATAAAAGCTTGTTTTAAAATGTTTTTACTTATAATTTATTTTTTACTTTTTAGCAATCTCTGGAAAACAAATATTTTATGCCATAGTTGATTATGTACGTTGTGCGATAGAACCTACCTACTTATTGCATTCATGAACATAAAAGGTACAAATTGACAACATTCTTCATTGACAGTGCCATGAACAGAAGACTAAAAACCCCAACACAATATAACCACTCAAATCTAAATTTAAAATCTTGCGAAGCGACGTCATTTAGCTCACACTAGTATTTACCTGTAATTTTTCTGTGCTTGTCACCCACTTAGTAAGAAAACATAATAAACTTAATACGCCATCTTACTTTAAGTCCGCCATATCAGGTTTTGTTATGATTATGAGTGACGTAAACGTCACTTTATTTTCGAGCTATTCTGAAAAATTCCTTTCATTTGACATCCATATTGTAAAAAAACATAAAAATGATATTCTGCCATCTTAAGAAGTCCACCATACTTAATTTAGAGTGACGTCAACTTATAATTCGAATAGGTAATTCTCAGCAATGCCTTTCATCTGACACTCATATTGTAAATTATCTTAAAAGGCCATCTTTAGATGTCTGCCATATTATTTTCTGAATTGTACTCAGCAAGACCTTTCATTTGACACCCATATTGTAGGAGTGCGTCAAAAATTACTTGTCGGCCATCTTGGATATTCCGCCATGATAGATTTAGAATGACGTCATATAACTAATCATGCATTGTCATCCGAAATAAACGTGTATACAAAATTTCAGCTCAATCGGTTGAAGATATCTGCTTCTAAATTGAGTTGCAAGATTTGCCCCGAACAAACATATTTACTTACTTACATACTTACATACACTGCAAGTTAAATAAAAGCTTTTAAAATACGCCCTTTATGTTATAATGATAATGATTATATGAAATTTCAAAATTAAATGGCAACATTGACTATGAATGGCAACAATTTAGTATGAAAAATTTTTAGTTCCATTTTATTTAATTTCTACTCTTTTTTGCTAGACTGTACTTACCAAATCTTTAACAGCATCTCGAACAACTCGGCCTAGCGGACATAAATTTTTTCCGATGTTTGTCGCGTTGATAACAGGTACATTTGTATATATCGGATCACCTGTTAAATAAGTAAACGGATTTAGTAAACCAATAAAATCCCATAAATTATAAATACTACTAGATGTCGCTTAAATCGTCGCTTCAAGACCAGTACCAAGAGGTTGAAAAATTCATCAGATTCAGCCAGCCGCCCGTAGTTCAGTTGGCAGAGCAGTGGGGTGGTTCCTCACGGTGCCAGGTTCAAGTCCCGGCGGTCGCTGATGAATTTTTCATTTTTCTTATTTTCAATATAAGTGAATAATAAGGTCCTAATAAATTCACTGCTAATATTTTCACGGTATGTTCTACTCGTGAAACTGAACAACTTTTCTTAGTAACATTGTTACGAAATATGAATAAAAAATTTGGACCTCATACAAACTGACACATGTTTTGGACATTTTTGTATGGGAGGGGCAAAATATATAATTTCATATGTCGGAAAAATAAAGTTGTTCAGTCTCAAGAGTAGAACATACCCCTAAAAATATTTGCAGTGAATTTAATAGGACTATATATAGCACTGAAATCCCTTTTTGTCGTTCAAAAGACTGACTTGTTTTGAGATCTTCGTTATCTATCGGGGGTAGGCATATCAAAATTGCTTAAGCTTGTCTTTCAAGCTGTAATTTACTTCGAATTGAAGACAATCACAGCTATTGGGGCCTATTATCTGTCGTAAGGCCTATCCCACTAAAATAATTATGCAAAAATTCAAACTTCTCATTAAAAAATAAGGATTAGTAGATTTCGTAGTAAATTGTCTACGACCCCTACGCCGTAGCAGTTAGCTACAACTTGCTTGATGAAGTAATTTTTATTCCATCGAGCTAGCAAGGGCCTTCTAGGGGAGATGTTAGGTAAGGTAGGTAAGTATTTACCCTCCTGATTGATTAGTATAACACTGTCTACAGAGTCATCGTCCGTGATTCTGTCTATCACGGGGTTAATTCTATTCATTGATGAAGTCTGAAATAAAAGATAGGTAATATAATAAATACCTACAACCATAACCATATCATAACAGGCACAACAGTCCACGTCACAACAGTCCACTGCTGGACATGGGCCTCTGCCCATCAGGAGGTTGTGCCATACTCACCACCATGCTTGGCAGACGGATTGGCGAGCGCTTTGCAATATGTTGCATTAACAGAGAACGCTGCTGCCCATTCCCTGGATGATTATCCTTTAGTCGCTTTTACGACACCCACGGGTAGAATTGGGATGATAGTATTGCAAGCCGGCATCACAAGTCAGTAGTCAAAGTACCTACTAGCAGCAGTGCAATTGTGATAGTTTCTTTATTACGAATTAAATATAAGTTCGATATAACTTTAAGTCGACAGACCAAGGTAATTAGACAAATGGAGCACACTTTAATAAGTACTTACATTTCGTTTAGCTATCTACTGTATCTATATTTTGGTGGTAGGTACTAACCATTTGCACAAGTTGTTCATCTTTCCTATCTTTTATCAAATTAGGTATAATTTTCATTGTATCTACTTATTTGTACCTAGCAGGACAGAACAAAGATAAAAATGGTAACAAGCTTTATCTTGAAATCGTTTATTTTCCTTGTCATCTGTTTGGTTTAATTTATAATCGAGTTGGTCGTTAAAAGGTTTGTTCTTTGTTTATGTAGGTTTCAAGGCTATTTATACCTAGGCACATTATGTTTACCCGACTGCTTCAGAAGGAGGATTATGTTTTTCGAGAGTATGTACCTATACCTAGTATGTATGTGGACAAGAAAAAAATCTTTTTCACGAGCTACAGCCCAAACGGATAGTTGGATTTTGACATAAGAGGTGTCGTTAGATTCGTCAGCTGCGCAAGTAACACAGGCTATATTAAAAATTTATAAATTTAAGATGGCGGATTTTTATCGCAAAATACAACTTTAAAATGACCGCAGTCGGGAGTTTGTTTTGTAATAAATCTGCTTGTTGTCTCTATCTGTTATCAAATTCCGTCAGCGTCTACCTATCACTGACGACTGACCAACTGACGCGTGCGGCCGAAGCGACTAAGTCGTAGTACCTATGGCGCCTCGTTTCGAGGGGTACCAGAGACGCGTACCTACGGCCGTATACCGCACACTTTAATACTACGACTCTAGCCGCATCGGCAGAAGCCGCGTGCGGCTGCGATCGGCCGAACTTGACGAACTTGTACTTGATGAACATAAAATTAGGCTACATTAATTTTAACTATCTTTTATTTCAGACTTCATCAATGAATAAAATTAATCCCGTGATAGACAGAATCACGGACGATGACTCGGTAGACAGTGTTATACTAATCAATCAGGAGGGTAAATACTTGCTTACCTTACTTAGCACCCCATAGTAGAAGGGCTGGCCTTGCTTGACGGAATAAAAATTACTTTATCAAGCAAGTTGTAGCTTTAAGTTGTAGCTTACTGCTACGGCCACAGAGGTCGTAGACAATTTACTACAAAATCACATAATCGGCATTTTTCAACGAGAATTTTGTATTTTTATGTAAGTAATTATTTTTTGTGGGTTACGGCCTTACGACAAATAATAGTCCCTTATAGCTGCGATTGCCTTCAATGAGGTAAACTACAGGTCGACAGACAAGCTTATGCAATTTTGATCTGTCTACCCACTAGTACCCACGATATATGACGAGGATCTCCGAATCTCTGTATAAAAACAAGTCAGTCTATCTGAACGACAAAAAAGGATTTATTGTAGGTATTTTTGATGCACCCACAGTGCTATATTAGTCTCATGAATGGATAATAAGAAAATTGGAAAAATTATCATCGACCGCCGGGACTTGAACCCGGGACAGAGGGGAACCGTCCCATTGCTGTGCCAACTGAGCTACGAGCGCCTGGTTAACCCTGATGAATTTTGAAACCTCTCGATGCTCGTCTCGAAATGTGTACCCTCAAGTTTTACTGCATGTTGCCATACAGCCGCCATCTTTGTATAGCCACCATTTCTAAAAGGTACCACTCTGAGTTATCCACCCGGTTTGTTTAACATCCTTATAGGCATGTCTATCCTGTAAAGGAAAGTTGAAACCTCCGATTTTTACCGGAAAATTAGCTAGCACACCCACCATGCGTTTTACATGAATTAATTTGTAAATTATTATCTAGCCGTTCTATTAACTGATTTAACTGTGTATAATTTATGTCACATCCATGTTAAAGTTTAGTGTCTTGATTAATTTTGTCTTTAGTTGTTATGTCTCTATCGATATCAGCAAACTTTACACACTAGTACTTTGCTATTGTTAGAACATCGTTTACATAAAGAATAAAAAGGAGCGGACCGAGCACACTCCCTTGCGGTATTCCACCCTGATTGATTCGATATTCCGATCAAGTTATTTTATTTCATTTTTGCCGTTAATTTTTGTAAGCGCGATAGCACACTCACAAATTTATCTACTTAGTACGATGTGGGTAATAATTGTACCGATATTCATTATATTTTTTCGTATTACTTTCTATATGTCTAAATCAGTGTGATAAGATAGTTTCCTCCAGACTACAATATTATTAAATAAATACAAAAACAGTTTTGATTGCAGAATAGTTTATTAAGTATTTAAATTACTAAAAAAGGCAGACGATAATAAAAATCATTTCAATAAATTAACCATGGACGAATGTAATTAATATAACGAGCTTTGCATTTCTTTAAAGTAACATTGAACCTTCAATATAGGAAAAATGCCTATGGTGTCGACATCTTCAAAGATTTTTAGCCCAGTCTGTTGCCGTTCTGGTGGTACTTAATAAAAGCAGTAATAGCTTCAAGTACACTAGCAGAGAACTCTTGAGGGCGTTCCAAGGCCAAGAAATGCCCTCCAACTGACAGCTCCTCGTTGTGTAGGAGGTTCGGGTACTTCAGACGCAGGACCACGGAGGGTTGATGGGTGAGCTCGTATTTTCCCTGGGTCACCCAGGTTGGTACTTTGGTTGGACTCCTGAAATATAAAAATGTTTTTTTTTTGTTATTGTCATATTCGGCTTGTTTTAGAATATCCGAGACTGGCATCCGAGAAATTTTGTATATAAGTAGGTCTAGGTACATAGTATTTTTCTGGTTTTCTGCAGAAATAAGCTCAGGCGACAGGCCATAGACAACTTAAAATTTACATTTATTTTAATAACTTTAGTTAGGTACAGCTACAGGTTAGACACAGCTTGATTTTCACCAAATTTTACGAAAATTTTGGTAGGTAATCGCACTCATTGTAAGGAGTCACCGAGTCATTCGCGATATTTTTCGTAAACAACATCTTTACCCATTTATCCTGAAGTTTTAACCTGCTATCTATTACAAGCGAGTGAAAATAATCGCAAGTGTTTAAAAAGTTACATAACTTACATCTCAATTCCCAAAGACACAGATTTCTTGTTCAGCGTCTCAGCGTATAATCTGAAAGAGGTGGTGATACTCTTGGTGGTCCAGTAGATCATCAGGTCGTCGATCATCTTCTCAGGGGTGAAGGTGTCGTACAGGCCTCCGTCTTCTTGGAAGCGTTTTTCGGGGTTTGCACCTATGAAAAAAATCTTTTTTTTAATATCTTTATATTTAAAATGATAGTTCGTCGAGATAGTGTCCTATACATACAAAAAAGAAGAACAAGAATAGTAACTAAATAATTCTGCTTAAATCCGCTATGTTCAGATTTAAACAACTTACCTGTTGCGAATTTCTCCATGATGAAGGCTAAGAGACCAGCTGGGGAGTCCGTGAGAGCAACTCCTGAAAGAGACAACAAAATTGATAATATTAAAGATATTGGTTTTCATCATCATTATCTAATAAAAGACCGTAGTGTAGTATGGGAATGCTAGGACTGCTTTGCTGCTAGTTCAGCTATGTTTAGCCCAATACCTGTCAAGAACGAAAGCAAATCATATTTTGAAAGTAATTGCATCCTTACCAACAGAGTCGGGCCTGGAAGCAGCCAAGTTGACGTAACCGGTTTCCTCAATGACGTAGGGGAGGTACTTTACTAAGGGCACTAATGATGCTGGGGCGCCGGCCAACGACAGAGCCCAGTTACAGTGGAAACCGAGGACTTCCTGAAAAATACATGGTCGTGAATATTAGGCCAGATAATGAGAGTTGGAATAAAGCAGCGACGGAGGGAAAAATTGCGACTAGTCGACAGACCATCAGCCTGATAGTCAGATAACATTAGAGTTTCTACAGATGGCTA